ATGCAAGAAGCTGCTTAAATGGCTGTGAGACTTCCCATTTACAAACATACATGCATAAATTCAAGGACACTTTGAAAAAATTGATGTTCCGAGCAACGTTGTATTCACAAGCCCGACTTTGGATTGGTTCTCCAATGCAGCATCGAGGAAACACTTCTGGACCAATTTCTCCCTACTGAAGGCACACAGACCAAACTGATATTAACCTTTTCTCTGGTATCTGTAATGTGATTGTGCCAGATTACACTACACCTCACCATATCACATTACTGTTATGTATGACAAAGTAATGTGTTAGTGTCCAACAGTGTTTAAGACACTATATACTTTAATAATCAGCATTAGCACCAGCACAATGCAATCAAAGGAGATGCAAAGTGGCTGTTTAAATCCAGTTTGTACTGTCCTTGCAAAACAGATCACCAAATACAGTATGAGGTTTTACTATGGGATGCCAACAGGAAAGATCTTTTCTAACTTATCTTAAACCAGTAGTTTAACCAGAGTCATTGGTCGCTGTGTCACCTGAAGCTCAGCAAAGAAATACAGTTCCTGGAAACACAAAGAGGGAATTGGTAAAATGTTATTTGGAACATATCCCCTGGATTTGGATAATTCAGATTTACAAAGCCTCATATCGGCTTTGGCTGAACCTTCGAATGCATTTTTTACTGTGTCCCTTGTCATCTCCACTGGAGTTGTGTCGATTTATCACCAATCTTTGGCTATGAACCTCTTAAATGTAAACTGTTCAGGAGCTAATGAAGCTGCTGTGTTCTCAACTTGACCACCGTGCGTGTTTGACTTTTTTAAACTGCTAGTTTGAAGGTTCATAAACCTCCTAATCCATTGAGGAGTATGTAAGGCTACAAGTAAGTCATAACATGCAGTGAAATGATAACATGAAAACACAGGGACCATTGTGTTAATGTTATTTTCTTGGCTGCCGCTGTAATCAACCTCCAAATTATCCTCTTTCCAGGGTTGTTTAAAAGACGATTTAATGCTGATTGTTTTTTTTTGAAGATTGCATTACAGTTAATAGTAGCCATTATTCACCAAAACAATGTGTAAGTACTCCTTTTGTATATTTATATAGCAAAACACGGAGCTTAATATCTGATGCATGATAAGCAGCTCATGTCTGGTTTTCCTATTAATGTGCGCTCAGCAAGAGAAGCTTTGCTCATTTGGAAGAAAAAGTTCACCAGAGACACGGCACAGTGTGCACATGGGTCCCGATGATGTTCTTTTGAAAATAGCTCTCCCACAGATGGGTGTTGACAAGGCACAGGTCGCACCAGGTTAGACAAAGCACTTATATTCCTTGAAAAGCCAACAGTTTGCCTAAAGATGAGAATGATAATTACCTGCACCGTGTCATAATAAACTGTTCCGTGTAAAAAAGAAAGAAAGAAATAGGCTCTATTTGACACAGAAGATGTATAATTGATACAGCAAAGAGCTGAGATGGAGGCAGCCTCAGTGTGTGTGGCGCACAGCTTGTGGTGGCTCATGTAATGGCTTGCCTCCACATGTGGTGATATGTATGGGCAAAGAAAGACTGCTGTCCCCCTGAGAGCAAAACTCTGGCTCAAATTGCAGGGCTGCCTGTGATTTTCAAACATTATGAAATCACTGCCACATTCCCTTTTCCGTGATTCCATCGTGGAATATTCTTTTGTCACCATTGTTTGTGTTTTTAAATGTCACGTATGACAAGAATACGTAATTGGCTGTAAGTGCATTAAAGACAGCGTGGGTGGAAGTATGGTTGGAAAATTTTTTTAAATGTGACAGGAGTCAATTTTGCATCAGATGTGTGCACTGGCCCGAGTTCCTCTGCACAGATAGATATAATGAATTGATTTCATACACAGTCCCCGAACATGTCATCCAGTTTTGTCCCTCTGATCCACCATCACATATCATAATCTAATCTCCATCTGCTTGTAGAACCATTTCCAACCTGTCTTCACTGATTATGGAACAGTTGCTGGCATTGAGCATTCTGTCATGTTTCTCATTACAGAGTACCTGTATGTTTAGTGTTTTTTCCAATTTCCTGCACTTGTGTCACACACAATTTCACGTCATTTAGTTGCTTTTACAGCACAATCTCTCGATGCAATAGATGTTTATGATTTACCATATAATGTATGCCACCTAATGGAGGATTTTATTAGAATAGTTTGAGAAATACTGAACAGACTTAAAGGTCCAGTGTGTAACACTTAGGATGGCTGTTCACAGGTTTTGCACATTTCACATCCACTGTAGTTTCTCCCTCTCACTTGGAAAGAGAGGGTGAAGTGAGTGAAATACAAGAAACTTCAATTTTGTGTTGATTCTGGTAGCCCCTGTGGATAAAAGCGGCAGTATTTCATTGATTTCAAGGGGAATCTGGTCAAATCCAACCAGGTGGCGGGCATTAAGAATAACTATTTGGACTCACTCATTGATGATCTACACAATTCTGCAAATAAATAATAATAATAATAAAGATTACAGATTAGGATACATTTTCAGGAATTTTATCTGTGCCTATAAATAGTAAATACAGATTTGATTTGTGCTAAAATGATACTCTGATCCTGTGAATAAAAGGACAGGTTTTGATCTTTTACTGTATATCAGGAAGACAGTCTAATGGATGTTGTTAGACTGTTATTTATACTCCTCATACGTCTGTATATGAGTTGAACTGGTCACAAAATGTACAAAATCAAATCAAATAGTGAAGCATGACTTGTATTTGAACCTCACTGTCAAACCTGTCAATGGACTAAAATTTTCAGCCTGTGTATAGACATGTATTATCAATTATGAATATACTTCTGCCTTCCTCAGTGTGACCTCACTAGAACTAACCAGAAAAGAAAACTCTGTGGCTACACCAACAAACACACACATCAATGCAAAAAGGGCACCTGCACAGTCTTTACACATTGCGTAGTGCAACACACACACCACCACGTTTCTAGGGAACGCAGTAGTTATGATGTCTTCCTCCGTACAGTCAGTTTATTGTTATCCTCAACAACCTGCTCCAGGTTAAACTTCATTCTCAGTTCATATTATAACCAGTCCACTCAGCCTCTCTGTCCCACTGTAACCAGTCCATTAGTATTGGAATTAAATTGAGAATGACTGGAAAGCTGAGGCACATACTCATGCCACCCCAGTGCCCCTCTTGTGCCGACCCAGTCAAAAAAGTCTGGAAACGCCCCTGCCTGCACTCCCTCCTCCTGTCTCCTGTGTCTTTCTGCTGAATAAAGTCACCAGGTAGTTAACATATTCGTCTTGAAGTCACTAGTTAACAGGGTCACTCGTTGAACTGAAATACGAGCGAGCCACAGGACGCAAATGCCAGAGCCGTGGCGAATTGTGATAATTTAGCACACCAGTCTGTGTCTCCTACTAAAAGACTGCTGGTGTTTCCATTAGGGAGTCTTTACAGAATGGGTGAGGCAGAGGCATTGGGACTTTCTCCTGTGTGGTATTGTAATCCTGGACTGTGAACTGAGGGATACTGAGTAGAACTGTATTTTAGATTAAAATACTGAATATTATGTGTTGCTGTGTACTGTAAGTATTTCGTTGTTGTGGTTATCGTGACAGTCTTATTTCTACCTCTGGTATATGGTTACATTGCTACCCATAATTCCATGTGATTTACCTGCTTTTACAGCACAAAGCCAAACTCTCTGCATGCCATGACTGTTTACTCATTGACATATAATGTAATAGACCATGCTACCGAATGGAGGATTTTAGGAGAATACATCTGTTGCAGCCCTGTTGGTGACTTGCTTTTTTTCTCCATTCTTCCATGACGTACTGAACACAAAAAAACAGGATATAATGGTGGTATGAATAGCTAAAGGAGGTATGAGTAGTACTAGCAATATGATAAATACATCTACCTGTCCTACAGAAGGTAATGTCAGCATATTATTTCCATTCATCCACCTCCCTGCCTGTTTGTGTTTTATGTGTGGTCTCTCTTTACACCTGCATCCATTCATTTACCCATTTAACAAGGACAACATTGATTGAGAGAGGTGGTGAGAGGGCCGATTCGATTTCAGAGGACAGAATTGGATTTGATGGTGGGGCATAATAGTTTTCATGGGCTTTTACGGCACTGAATAGCTTAGCTGGAGCTGCCTTGATGGGACTGAGCTGTAATTCTGAGAAGAATCCCAGGGATGGCAGAAGCACAAACATCCTGTTCCTTATTGTCCCAGCCCACAGAGCTCTATGTGCTTTACCTATAGGAGGCCAGCACAGGAGGCCATGTGAGGCTGAGACCTATCTTCAAACAAACAGGAAAAAAAAAAGAAATCCCGTACACAAAGTCACGCTCTCGCAATCTCTCACATCGGTGTTTGCAAAACTCCGCTTAGATCGATGAGCTGCCAACGACAAACAATAGTTGTGAACTGGGCCGGGTGCTCGCCAAACTGAAAGGAAAGGGGGGTAACCTGCTGTGAATTGTCATTAAAGACGGTGGCATGTTGGCGGCAGCACAAAGGCTGTTTGTGTGTGGACCGAAACCTGGGCCTTGTGGCTGAGATAAGATGTATTCAGACTCCACAGCCACAATTTGGGTAATCAGTCCCCTCCTAATTCCTCTCCACTTGGTCAGCTCTGATTTCATTCATCTGCAAATTGCTCTGAGGAGAACAGTTTTGCCAGAATGGGGGACGAATTGTACTGTGTGTATACTTTGCCTTTCTATAATACGTTAGCTTTTGATGAATGGGGAATTCAAAACATTGTCCACTGAGCAATCATTTTAGATTTTCAAGCAGTTGCTGTTGTACTGTTGTTCGTAAAACAAAATGCACTTGAAAGTGTTTTTCACTACTAAATGGTGTATCCAGCTGAAAAGGATTTGGCTTGCCTTTGTTTCTGTCGGACTACCTATTGTTCATTTCATCGTTCATCTAGAAGAGACGTGGGATGATGAAGTAACCGAGGTGTTGATTTTGCAGGTTCCACAGGAGATGCTCAGCCCGATGCCCTACCCTCGGTGCAGGGCACCCTGCCGCACTTCATCCAGGAGCCAGAGGATGCCTACATCGTCAAGAGCAACCCCATCAAGCTGCGTTGTCAAGCTCGGCCTGCTCTTCAAATCTTCTTCAAGTGCAACGGCGAATGGGTCCACCAGAGCCAGCACATGTCTCAGGAGCACACTGACCTGGGGACAGGTACAGCCATAAATAAATACTTATGTACATTTATACACAGATAAACATGTTGTTAACATACAGCAAATGTAGACAGACATACAACTTGCAACTTGTCAAGCCTTCCCCCTGTCACTTTAACTTATGAGGATAGCATTCATATCTCTGGTAGCAAGGACTCAAGTCTTAGGAATGAACTTTATTTACTTTTAAATGGGCTTTATGAAAATGCCTGTGGCTGTGTCCAACCCTGCAAATATATTTGCCTCTCTTCTTTAGTGCATACTGTGTGTCACATTTGATTTAAACTGAAATGACAACTGTTAGACCATGAAAGGCACCTACTTGTTCAGTTTTCGGATTTGACTTTGTATTCCGAATGGTGTCTTTTACTGATGCAACGTGCTGAAATGCAGTTGTTGTTGTTTTAACTTGAAGAAAAATGAAGTCATTCAAACCACACAGAAAAAAAGCCCTTGTATGTTTTTATTGCATCATCTCACAATGGCCGTTGCACGTCTCATAAATTCAATTATGTCTATACAGCAAATTGGCAAACAAAGAAAATATTATACTTTCTTTTTTCGCCTAAATGGACTGTAATTTACTGCAATTAAATAGCCTGATTCTCCAGTATACAATGTTTTATTCCAGTGGGGGTAAAGTTGGGTTCAACGCATCAGGATAATTAATGCTAGTCTGATTTATTAAATAATCTTGTTTTTATTGTGAGCTGAAATAAACATAAAAATATTAGCTACACTTACAATTATGCCTGCACTGGACATGAAATGACCATCGTATAATTAGAGTATAAATTGCTGGGAGAAGTCAGGATGTAGGCACAATATTTATGAGCCTTCTTTAGCTGCTATTAGTTTGACATTGTTGCTGCTTCACTTAACACAAGGCACCAATCAATATCTCCCCCCAGAGTTAACAATGGACCTCTAAATTTTTACTGCCTCTAGTCTGGATTCATAGCTTTGCTCCCATCTGGCTCCTTATCACCATTCATATCTGTTTCCACTGGGACAGACAAGGAAGGAAATAAATACAGAAGGGGAAAGGACTGAGAGGGAGAGAGAATTAAATCTGAAAAGGAGAGCATCTTAAAAATCCACCTGTGCTTGTATCTCATAAAGTAGAAGGATCTGCCCTGGCCTGGACTGTGCCTGGATGTGTCTCTGTAAGCGCAAGCTGCTGGAGGATTTGACAAAATGGAATGCATGTGGAATGAGGATGTTTTATTAGTCTTTATTATAAGCTTAATCTAAAAATGCAGCACAGAAATAGATTTCAAAATAGACGTATGGGCGGAGTCTCCACCAAAAAGGAAGCATAAGCCAAGTCAGTTATTTCCATTAATGAATGTTCCTCAACATTTAGTTGAATTGTTATACTGTATAAGTTCTCACTAAGTTTTGTGTATGCTATTCTGAGGACTGCTATCTGTCTGTCAACACTTCAGACTGTTACTATAGCACCAGGGCTCAAAGCTGAGGTGACAGCCTTACAGATAGACAGCCAACTTTTGCAAAGTTTAAATTTAATGAAGGCAGAAAAAAAACGAGGCATGCTGTTTGTGGAGAGGCTGGTAGGAACCTCTTGCATAAACTCACGACTTGATCCTCCTGCCAATAATATAATTTATTAGATTTTTTTTTACAGTTAGACTGTATTCATTGTCCCATCTCCTAGCAACATGTATTTGAAACGTGATAGCCTAACCTTAAAGTAGTTTTAGTAGCTTAAAGCAGCTTTAACATTATTGTTTTGGTTCACTGTAACTGATCTCATAGCATCGCTTTCTGCCACAGTACACAGCTGTTTTCTGCAAACAATAAAGCTATAAAAGTCTTCTGTATGCTCCCTTCCCAGCACTGAGCAGCAGAGAGATAAAGTTAGCAAATAGCTGGTGAGCATATTGGAGCAGTTAACAAACTTTTTTTGCTCAGGTGGAGACCAGAAACATGAGCTATGAGGAGATTTCAAATTCAAGTGGCTAGAAAGACAACAGATGAAAGAAAGCTAATCTTTCTCTGTATCTTCTACAAAACATCATTATTGCAGGTTTTAACCACAATCTATTCTATTACATTAGCCTAGTAGTTTGTGTTTTTGTTTTATTGATAGGGGTGCCAGGTCAGCAAAATCCTCATATGGCTATTTCTGTTTTGTACTGACAAAAAGCTTTACTATTTAGGTATGAGGCCTTGTTTGAATATTTCAGTTTGGAGAAATAAAATAGTTATATGTTGAACACAGCAGCTGGTTCTCACTTAACGAAACCTAATAAAATGTCAATGTCACGAATGGAAAATTGAGTTCATAGTTTTCAGGCAAAACTTTTAATCATGGCTTTTGTTTTATAATATCATATACTTCTTCTATCCAGGGTTCAGTATTCATTAAGATATTTTGTGTTGTCACTGAGCATCTCAGTGCATAGCCTTGTAATCGGACAGAGCACACAGCACATTCAAAATGGATGGAGCAGTTTGGTGCTTCAATATAGAAGATAAACTAGAGAATTTGAAGTAGAAGCCCTCTGGCATGACATAAAAATATCTAGAAACTGCTACAGCTACTTTATTGGACGATGCCTCTAAAGGAAAAAAAAAAGAGGAGAACAAAATGTCCCCAAATCAATGCCAATATCAGTTGATTTTTAAGAACACTAGACCTGGCCATCTTTCACAACCCACTCTTGGTGTGACTGCACACTCCAACAGCCTCCCTCTGGAAGCAACAAATAGCTTTAAAATCATCATTGCTTCATACATCATTTGTGCACATTGGAGTCCTTTCAAGCGTGGCATAATTTGTAGGTCCAAATAAGAGATTCCACATCATTCCTTTTAGTCCAACATTAAATGAGCAGGAGTGTAAAATGGTTCCCTTTTAATGTTGACTGTTTTTGCTTTTGGACGATTCTCCATTACATATTCATTTGCTTCATCAGTTAAATTGTAACTGTGGTTTTGAAACTAAAGTGGAAAATATAATAGCCAGCAGCAATATTGGTCATCATTTTATGGCTTTGTGAAACAAGAATAATTTATATCATAATTTTTTAGTGAAATCGTGTTAAAATTTTAGTAATGTGTCAAAATAATAACTTGATGTGTCTTTCTTAATTGCATTCTTTGATCCATCTGCAAAAAAGCATGTTTGGCAAACAGAATACTAAAATCCTGTTCATTAATGCTACAGGTTGAAAAGAAAAGATGACTGCTGCTTCATCACTGGGTTTAGCAGGTCATTACCAATGTTTCGGAAACCAGCACATAACTGATTTGCATATATTTCCTCAGTATTCACACATTTAGTTGGTATAAAGCCATCTGCCTAGACTCAAAAAATCGGTCCATCACTTTAGTCCAGACTGAAACATCTCAATAATTATTGAGGATGAATCCTACTGACTCTTCATCTTACTCCACCAGAAAGTCAAAGCTTCACTCATCCAGTAAAATATCTCTGCATACTGAATGAATGAATTTAATTATTTGGGGTATTTTCATGCTTTAATAAGACTACCACAAATGGAGCGATGCCTGCAAGCCAGTTCAGGCAGTCGAGCGGCACTGCTATATACACTGTAAACCCGGATAAGT